CGTGTGGGTGTATTTGTGTGTAAGTGTGTGTGTGTGTGTGTGTGTGTGTGCGTGCGTGCGTGCGTGCGTTCGTGCGTGTGCGCGCGTATCTGTGTGCCTTTGTTAGTAAAATATAAGTAAAAACTGTTGTGTGTTACTTTTTGTGATTTAATTCCACGTCCCTGCCAGCATGTTTGATGTTGACACAACGAAAACAAATTTTAGCCTGTGGGTCTTCCTAGATCGTAAAAACTGCACCCAACTGAACTGTTGTACTTAAAAATGTTTAATACCCTTTTCGATAGCTGCCACAACCACGAGCAGACAGGGGATATATTTCGATATCTTAATGTTCCAAACGCTGAAGTAATCTGCCACTCAGCAACCGTTATATGACAACCGACCTGGCCAATGCTTCTAGCGCCTCAATTTGAGCTCTTTTTATCACGTTCCTGGAGATTAGGTTTAATCCCTACGTGAACAAATAAAATCTCGTGGCATGGATTCTTTTAAAAAAATAAGGCACTTTAACGATCTTTGCTCGTCTCAGCTTACACCTGTATTAATTAAGTACGTTATATTAATTGATATCGATTTTGGCGAACAAGTCATAGCGATTCAGAGGTCGTTGACATTGCTGTGTTTTGAGGATGAAATAATAAATCAAACACTTGCTGGTGTTGTAGTAGTTGTTGCTGTGGTAGCAGCTGTGTTATTGTTGACGTTTTGTTTTTGTTTTCGCTTTTGTTTTACATTATTTCGTTTATGGCTAGTTAGTCCATGTTGATGTTCCGTTCGTTATGACGTTGTGAAATATGTTTCACTGACAACATAAACAATGCTGTCATTGGTGAGTAAAAAATGTTTTATTCGTGGTTGTTTTGTAGAGTGTGGTTTGTTTGTTGAGCCGCAGTTGTTGTCTCACTGTCGATGAACAGTTGCAAAGTTGTGTGGTGGTTATTCTATTATTGTTGATGTGTAGTTGTTCAGATGTGTGGCTGTTTGATGTTCCGTTGTTGGTAAGAAATTGCTGTTGTTTTTGTGTGTGTGTGTGTGTGTGTGTGTGTGTGTG